TAACAGACCATTTTCTGCCCTTAATTGTTTAGCGAAGCCGAAATCACATATTCGTAGTGCACATGAACGACCAGAGTCATCTGCATACAAAATATTCGACGGTTTAAGATCACGATGCACAACCTGGTAAATAAAAGAATCCGACCTTTAATACATTAAAAGAAATTTAAACAAATAATTATAAGATTTAAATTGATACTAAACAATATTGATAAAGTGATTAATCTGCTAACTTTTCGTTGTTAAAATCATTAAGAAAACATAATTACGATGTTAGGTATTATAATCCTCATCAACCATTGTTGTTAAAAGATGTTTGAAGGCAATCTGCAGGAAGCCTCGGAACTTGGTTTCGTGCTCGCTGGCACTCGTCAGCAGGACATATCTGCAATCTGCACCGACGATTGGACTAGACACACTACACTAGTTACTGACCAGTGTCCAATCCAAAAATATCCAATACAGTCCAACAGGAGGTCTATCGTGAGCCCGAATACCTCAGTGGTAACGTCTCTGACTGCACCACTGGGTGACACAGGTTCCAATCTCAGAAAGGACATGAGTTTCTACAAAATTGCCGGTACGCTTGCTGACTAGTGAGTGCCAACAAGCACGAAACCTAGTTCGAAGGCTTCTCGCTGATTGTCTCCAACCATCTAATAACAACACTCCTGAGTGAGGTGCAATGGCGAGCCACCTAGCATGGTGACCACACTGAAACTTGACTGATAGAATTCAGTCTGCAGTAAACAAAGAAGTGAATGCATGATACTAGTTGGTGTGCAATCAAAAAAAACCATTCTCAGCAGCTCGACTGCTTATAGCAAGACTGCCCAGAATAGCTATGGCTTGTAGACTATGACTCATGTAGTGAGGCGCCAATTAAAATGGGATGAAAATCTAAGCTGTGACAGAACTTGAACTAGTGTTCTCTGATTCCATGTGGCTGTAGAGCGTTTCACTAGCTGCTTCTCATCTACATGACTAATTTGCTGATCAGCTTATTTATTTCAATGTAGAAGAAAACAAGAGATGAGAATTTTCCCAGTGTGATTTGATTTTTAATTTCCTCATTTCACCTGATAATTTGCACACTAACATTCCATATGAAAACGAGATCATTAGCATTTTTGTTTTTATTGGAAATGAAAATTTAATATATAGTCCGTTTTTCTATAATTGAACTGATTTTACACATAAATTATCTTTCTTTTTACTACTTGTAATATAACAATAATAATAATAATAATAGTAATAATAATAATAATTACGATAATGAATATTTGGTTGGAAGTGTTAACATACTTATTATCACTATCGTGGTTCATAACGTTGGATTAATCAAAAGTCATCAAAACGACATCAGAAATAGGTTTTATATCTTTTAAAAACAGTGAGTGTTTATTAATGTCTTAAATTAGTGTTTTACTACATTCTACTGGATTAGTCGAGACGAAAAAAAAAATCAATTACTGTAGTATAGTGCATGCTTAGGAGTTAAATATTTAAACTTCCATCTCTCTATTGCATATATATCTCCTCTCGTTCGGTTTGTTTTAAGCGATTAAGATATGACGCCTAGTGGTAGTATTACCTACTCTTGTGTGTATTTTAAAATGTTTACAAGCTTCTGATTCTCAAGTTCCCACTAAACTTGAGGAATGGCCTGACTGAGGGTTGCAGAGTGTTCCAAGACATGAGATAACTGTTCTTCAGTTATGTCTTTGGGTTTCAAAATATATCGTGGATTTCTTGAAGGAGACAAAGCAGATATATCATAATGGAATGGTTTGTGCTTCAGCTCAGAGACCATTGTGTCACAGGATATACTGTCAATCGAGATTTTACTTGAAGATACTGGACGAAAGGAAAATATCATGCAATAAACTCCTCTGAAAATTCTGTACATTTTATAAATACTGTCCAGAATAAAGATGTTGTTATTATTATTATTTACAAAAAGTGTTAAGTTTATTTAAAAATCAACATCTATTTGACTCAATGTGTATGTATATAAAAAGCTATGAAAGAGACAAATTATCTTGAATCATGATGAGTGCCTAACTCACTATTTGAGCAAATTAAGATAGCTCAATTCTGCTATTTACGAAGGCCTACATCTAAGTTTTATGGCCACTGAAACTTGCTAAAAAGAACTCATCTGCAGCTTCAAAGGAACAGACTGATAACCGCTTCAGAGATGCCAACCTGCATCACCCAATGCTGCAGTTAGAGAGGTTACCATTTAGATATTCCAGATTAAAATTGATAAATTCCCTCTGCCAGGTTGCTTATGACAGTGTCACGTCAAAAAATACAAGATATATGTTGTCGAGGTCAAATTATAAAATAATTGGAGAAAACAGTACACAGTTTGAGTTGCGAAAACTCGTAATAAAGTAATGCAGAAAAGGTGATTTTCATCAATGCACGTGCCAACTGTTCAAATTCAGGGTTTAGTTAGACACCAAACTTCACTCTTATAATAAAATGTTTCCTGAAACATCCAACACGCCGTCAAAAGTCCATGTATTATGCAGTTGTAGCTTAGTGTAAATTTATTACAAAGTACTTCGAAAAAGTATGCAAGCTCATTCAATCATAAATGTGAGTATTGAAAGGTATACAAACTCACCTATATATAATTGCAGACAAAAAAAAGATAAGATGAATTCTAGAGGAATCAAAGTGAGTAGTTTTTTTAACTTCAATTGTACTATATTCCCTAGAATTCTCCTCTAGCTAAATTTAAACATTCAGTCACGAAACAGTCATTTCAATATATAATTATATTCGAGTGTCCGTTGGTTGCATTCAAGTGACACCAATTAATATAACGATTACAGTCATATATGGACTGGAATAACTCAGTGATAACCATCATTCTGGCAGATGATGGCTTGAATTTTAGAGGGGATATCACGCCTTGATGAATAGTGCAGATGAGAACGAATCCTAGCTCAAGGGCTTCGTGCTAATTGCCTCGAACACAAGTGCAGAGTGTCTTTCTTCTCGTTAAGAGATAAAAGAACACATATTCAAGACTTCATTTATTATATTTTTTTATGCGTTACCATATGTCATATAAATACACTAAGACTAAATATTCATCAAATGGCAACTACTAGTAATTCACAAAACACCAAGAAACATGTAAAACACTTCAAATTAAAAAAAAAACTGTCTATTGTACATTCCACTGAGGTTCATTGATAGAAAAGGAAAAACATGCAGTACATGAAAAGAACATGACTGATAATAAGTAAATAAGAATATGTAGAATAATTGTGTGTAAGCTGGTAATATACTATTTGAATTTAGTTGTGAATTTTCCTAGAATAATAATTACCGTTTACACTTAAGCAACAGATTTTTCAATGTATAATATTATATGTATGGATGAGGATATACCCTATCGCGAATCAAGCCCACTGAGTTTTCGTTTCAGTACACTTGTATAGGTAGAATGGAGGCGGCAAAATTACTGTCTGAATTCTCACAGGTAGTTGATTTTGCGTAACGGACCTAACCGAAAGAAGGCTATAATCATATCAGATGTTACCTTTGGCTGTTTGACAGATGTTCTGTCAAATTCTTCACGTAGATAGAATATATATTTTTTGTGACACTTACTATACTATGCACGATAGCCTTTATTCTCATTCACATCCTACCAATTAGATTTTTTCGTTATATGCTATGGAATTAAAAGGTTTGAGATGTGCACAATTAGTTCTATTATCCATTATTTTCATAGACGACATTCTTTTTTCAGTGAAAGCTAACCCATTTCAATAAATAATAGTCACCGGAAGCTGTTTTTAAAGAGAAATGATCAGTGTTTGTCATCAATGATAATTTTCAGTCAAACTTTAAACAAATGTCCATGTAGTACAGCACACAGTGAACTTCTTTGAGTCTGTAATGTTCGACTAAGACAATTTAATCATAAACCTTTCAAGAATGATAAAAATATGTACACGACAGGCGAAAGTCCTGTATAGAAAGAAGCATACACATATGCATATCCAAATATATAAAAACTTACCATATTACTATGTAAATAACTCAACGTATTTGCAATCACATAGATTACATCACTAGCTTCACGTTCAGAAAGACACTTTTGACGGATTATTTTATCCAATAATTCCCCACCTTTTAAATACTCCATAACCAAATACACTATATTCTCATTTTCATACACCTTAAATAAAAGCAAAAAATTAAACAAGATAATAAAAAAGTAAGAATGCATTTAACAACAGTAATTTAAACACTTTGATGTGGAATCTTTTACAAATATGGCTGCTGGCTGGATTCAACATAGAACTTGGCACCGAAGTGCAGCACTTCGAGTTACCACGTTCCAAATAGCACACAAAGGTAGACAGGAAAATGAGTGAAGAGAATCAATAGAGTTTTGATAAGTATAAGAGTGAAACAGAATGAGTAATGGTAGAAAGGAATATGAAAGATTACAGAGACTGAATACATCTGCGTGAGCCATTGACAGCGATTTTGAGCCATGTCACCTATTGTCTCCAGCCATTGATTCTTAGAGTCCCGAGGGCCCCAACCCGGAAGTCTGCATCTCCCTACCTGACTCAGTTTAACTGTCAGGGATTTCATGGATTGATGAGGCCATGTGTTTGTTTGGCCACCACTCACTCTTTTCCAACCTGCACCTATATCAGCTAGTAATGCCCGTCGGGGGAGGCGATGGTTAGGCATGCGCAGCACGTAACCTAGCCATCTCAATCTATGTAACTTTATAGCCTGTTCGATTGACTTTCTCTCTTCGCCCAACACTCTACGCCTAACGTCAACATTACTTATCTTGTTATGCCACCTAACGTGAGAAAGAGATCGTAGACATCTATGATCAAAAACATATAGAGAAGGACGGAGCGAACTGCTGATCAGTACACACGTCCCTTGGTTGATAGTCGGATGTCACGCCTACGCCAGAGATGGTGTAAGTTAGCGAAAGCAGCTCGAACTTTCTGGATCCATGCTGAGATTTACATATATATTTATTTATATTTACAAATATAAATAGAAAACTGCTTCGTATCAAATAACGTTGGGTATTCTTTTACTATACTGATCTTCACAGTATATATATTTGTATCGAAGTAATAAAAATTCGATGAAAAAATAAGCCGGCAATATTTCAGTCTTAGGAAAAAAATATTTCAACTGTAAGATCTTCGTCAGGAAATAGTATCAGTTAGAGAGAGAGAGAGACAACTGAAAACCAAGGGTGCGTTGGATAGCAGTTTTGTCTTCGTTTGGGACTATTCAGCAGTGCATACGCAAGACCACTGAATTGTAACTCTATCTATCATCAATTTGTGATATGGTGCTGCCCCCACTAATGTATTCAGTGATCATCCACTTCACCTTGCCACGGTGGACACTTCACCGGTCACAGCTTTCCACTGCAGCTTCAGGAAGCCCATCATCCAGTACCAGCAGTAAGCTGAAGATTAGTATTCAGATTATAGCATTTGTGAGGATTTGAGATTAATTTCAACATCAGAAAAGTATTTATCAAAAATCAAGGAATTGATATCAAGCTATCAGGTTAACATATTCATCACGTTAAGTGAATACTAAGAAACAAAAGCCAATTATCAACAAAAATTAGCAAAACTAGCATAGAGTATAAAAATAAGTGAATATCTATTTACATTTTACATGACTAAACATACAATTCAAGTTCATGCAGGTTGATAGTCATCTATAGGTGAGACACTTTATTTGACCACAAATTATCCAAATTATAAAAAAAAAAACAGTTAATTAGACAAAAACAAACTGGTGAAAAATTCCAGCCAAGAAGTAAAAACACAGCAAAAACTGTTCAAGTTTTCAACCGCTGTATTTCATTTACTGAGAGATGCCACTCGTCGCCAACACGAAATCATATCATTCCAAAACGTTAGGCTCTTTTTAGAGTATGGCGTTACAAGATAAAACTTGACAAAATTGATATTATGCACAAAGACTTAGGAAATGTAGATACGATTTCAAATAGATATTCGGAGTTGTCCCGATACGAAGACAGGAAGAAAGCAGTATTTGATGTAAAATCATCAATCTTTACCACACAAATAGATTTTAAGACACACGTAATGGGAATTTCTGCATCTACCCACATGAAAACATTATTTATGAAATAGAAAAACAATTTGAAAAAAGAGATGCGAAGAATGGAGGCATGTTCACATTCTATTCTTCTGTAATAAACAAGGTTTCTTTAGATCCCTAACATTTGCGTAAGGAAGAAAACACTAGCAGACCTTAGAAAGGTGGTTGCAGGTCACTTGTTGGTAAAGTGTATCTGTGACTGTGAAAAAATCAAGTTTCACGTAAAATTCGAATGTAAACAACTCAACATCGAAATATGATTTTATCAATAAATTCCATATGTTTAGACTGATTTATTGTAGAACTTACTGGCGCTTAAAAATTGTTCTCTAACTCAAACACATATTATCTAATGATCTTTAGAAGTGTGCTGCCATCTCTTTACGTAATATACATCTTTAAAGTTCTGGACAAAGCAAAACACAAGTTCCAAGCGGTGTGATTTCAATTATGATAAAGAACACATTGCCAACTTAAAAAAACTGTTTTTGGCAATCCCATAGGACAAGAAATCTATACTTGCAATCTATCAGCTGTCTGTAGGCAAATCGCTCTATTAAACCAGGTAAGATTGTGCAAATTACTTGCCTTTCAATAGTTTGGTATCAGTGCAGCAATGGCGGAACTGTTGGGCTGACAAAGCCAAAATCCAGATTGGATAAAGTAACCACCAAACAAAACTTCAAATATGAGTCATACCTGAAATATGCATTTTTGTGTATATATTCACCACTGTGGAAATCAGTCATCGATACAGCGTCGTTCATCTTCACTGTTTGCTACATGAGTTCCTTCAATTATTGCAGAATTTTCTCTTTCCTTATATTTCAAATAGAATGTGGGCTGAGGTTACTGGCCTCATGTTCAACCTTGTCTCTTTGGCTGGCTTACTTTCAGCTGCCGAACTAGACGAGGTTTAGCGGCACATCAGCCGGCAAACGGTTTCCCGCTTCTCACATGTGTATGGTTAGCAAGCATTCTACTCTTGAACTTTACCAACACAAGATCGATCGACCATTATTGGTCAGTTTTTATAATGTAACTATCACCAAGTATAATTCATGTCTATAGAGCAACCAAATAATAAAGCAAATAAATCAGATCAAATGAAAGTGATATAGTGATAAACAAAATCGATATAATTAATTACCAGCCATTGATATAGTTTTTATTTTAATTTATTGATATATATATATATATGTGTATATATATATATGCAAAGCAGCTATATTATGAAACAGTAACTATATTATTATAGATATAATTTGCCGCAAAGTCATGAAAAGTTAACTTCAAAGCCTAAGCTTTCATTTTACTACCAGAAACAGACAGTAGAACATTAGGGCGAACATTATATGTATATATATATATATATATATTATTGCACTACATTTGGTATATATTATCAAGTCTTCAAGCGGCCATTGTGAATTTTTATGAAATCCTACAAAAAATGCACAGGTAGGTTTCCAGGGATTTTATTAATCTTGACAAGCGAATTTTCGCACCAGCTGAAATCAGTTAGAAAAGCATTGAAATTCAAGGGAGACTGGACAGTTACTTCATAATTATTTGACATCGAACCCTAGATTGAGGGCTTTAACTAATGAGACAACAAAGTGGAACGTGGCACCGAAGTGCAGCACTTCGAGTTACCACGTTCCAAATAGCACACAAAGGTAGACAAGAAAATGAGTGAAGAGAATCAATAGAGTTTTGACAAGTATAAGAGTGAAACAGAATGAGTAATGGTAGAAAGGAATATGAAAGATTACAGAGACTGAATACATCTGCGTGAGCCATTGACAACGATTTTGAGCCATGTCACCTATAGTCTCCAGCCATTGATTCTTAGAGTCCCAAGGGCCCCAACCCGGAAGTCTGCATCTCCCTACCTGACTCAGTTTAACTGTCAAGGATTTCATGGATTGATGCCATGTTTTTGTTTGGCCACCACTTAATCTTTTCCAACCTGCACCTATATCAGCTAGTAATGCCCGTCGGGGGAGACGATGGTTAGGCATGCGCAGCACGTGACCTAGCCATCTCAATCTATGTAACTTTATAGCCTCTTCGATTGACTTTCTCTCTTTGCCCAACACTCTACGCCTAACGTCAACATTACTTACCTTATTATACCACCTAACGTGAGAAAGAGATCGTAAACATCTGTGGTCAAAAACAGACAATCTCTTCATGTCTTCCGCTCTCAATGGCCACGTCTCACCGCCATAGAGAAGGACGGAGCGAACTGCTGAGCAGTATACACGTCCCTTGGTTGACAGTCGGATGTCACGCCTACGCCAGAGACGGTGTAAGTTAGCGAAAGCAGCCCTAGCTTTCTGGATCCGTGCTGTGATTTCGTCACCAATCAATCCGTTGGTGCTGATACAACTTCCCAAATAGGTGAAGTGGTCAACATGTTCTATCACTTCACTCCCTATCACTAAGCTTGGAGTTGACGTAGTCCAGTCCTGTAGCAGCATCTTACATTTCACAGGGGCGAATCGCATGCCAAACATACGAAGATTGCTGCTCAAGGTGTTCAGAAGACTCTGCATTTCGTCAGCGTCCTCCCCTAACAGGACTATGTTGTCTGCGTATTCTAAGTCTATAAGACTATTCCCTGGTAACAAGTCGATTCCTAAGTCGGTACGTTAAGGATACTTCCATTAGGATATCTATGATGAAGTTAAACAGAAAAGGGGAAAGTGGAAATCCCTGACGGACATAACTGGTTGTTATCAATTCATATGACAATTCCCCATAAACCCTTACACAGCTACGTGAGTTTGAATAGAGTGCCTTGATAAGTGCACTGTACTTTTCTTGGCACTCCCCCTTCACAGTCACACATTGCCATAGTACTAATACCTTTCGATCCACGGAGTCGAAGGCCGTCTTCAAGTCAAGAAATATGGCAATTGTTGGACGCCGAAAAGTACGTATATGTTCTAGGATCTGTCGGAGAGTGAAGATATGATCTATGCACCCTCTACCTAGCCTAAAGCCCACTTGATTTTCCGTCGTTTGTTCCTCCCGAGTTCGGCTTAGTCTGTTCATGATTACTGAGCCTAGGATTTTAGAGACTATGTTCGTTAGGCTGATCCCCCTATGATTATCACATGAGGACTTGTCTCCCTTCTTCAATATCGGTATAATAAGTGACTTACCCCAATCTGATGGAACCGTCTCTGATTCCCAGACGTTGCTTAGAACCTTAATTAATCTATATACTAGTATGTCACCCTCATATTTAAACACCTCCGGAATAATTCCGTCAGGTCCTACCGCTTTGCCTCGTTTCAAATTATAGATAGCTTTTGTGACCTCACTTACAGACGGCACGCCAGTGTCTTTATCCCATTCGGGTGTGTGCTGAATGGCGGGGAGGTTCAGTGTGGCTGTAGGCAAGTTAAATTGTTCCTCAAAGTGTTCTTTCCAGCGTTCAAGGAGTCTATCCCGAGAGCTAATTAAGGAGCTATTTCTCTCAGAAATAGTCTCACTTATGATTTGCCTTCTCCCACCCGTTTCCCTGATGAGTCTGCAGAGCTGCCTAGTGTTGCCTATCACCGATGCTTTTTCCGTCTCTTTCGCCATGGTCACTCTTTCTATTACTCCTAGAGGCCATTTACCTATAGAGGTCTTATCCGCCACTAAGACTACATCACCAACTTGAAGGTTTCGACATGTTTTCCTCCATTTATCCCTTCACGGCAGTGTTAGTATATACTCTTTGAACCATCTCTTCCAAAACATATCCTTCAGACGTTTGGCTTGTCTCCATCTTCTAATCATAGGTTTCTACACAGATACCTCTCTGTTACAAACCGTCTGTTTATCCTTGGACCTCCACGGTAATCCCACGATGAAGCGTTTGTTCTCATAATTACAGGCTTCATCAACCAATTTCGCCGCCTTCTTATCTTCCACGGACCGCCCTCTTTCCGCAGAACTATTGTCGTGGAATTCCTTGTCATACATATCACGAACCATACGCTCTATACTCATATCATTGTCAGTAACCAGGGACGATACTCGAGCGTTCGACACAGGCCCCCTTATAGTCCACCCCAGCGGAGTTTTAGTAGCGTATAGATCCTCTTTATCTCCGTGTCTTTCCTCGAGTACTTTATGTGCAGACGGTACATTGCATCCAACAAGTAATTTCACCTTATTATCTTGCAAAACAGGGAACACTATATCGGACAGATGTCGTTTATTAATAACCACTTCACGATTGGGCATCTTGGCTTCACCAAGTTTCAAACTGGGGGTAATATACGCAGTTGCAACCTTAATTGATTCCCCGTTACCAAGGAGTTTAACCAAAAGGAGACACGTTCACACATTAACCTGTTCGAAGAATTGAAGGTATTCACTACTAAGGGTTCTTTAATACTCTTGATACCTAATTGGTCAGCTAGCTCAGCATCCAACAATGTGAAGTCTGATCCATTATCCGACAGTGCATAAGTGTCCACCGATGATTTTGGTCCTCTCACTTTAACTGGTAATACCCCTAAATAAACTCGTGAGATGTCATAGGATCTAAAAGTGCTGTTACAATTAACAGAATTCGCCGGTTCATTTACTATTCTCAAAGGTGGATGCAGATCTGTTGAACCGCTACCTCCTTTGTCTGTTGCCTTACAATTCAACTTTGTGTGTCCTACCTTTAAGCAACTAAAACACAACCGCTTCTGTTTTGCCATTCTCAATCTTTCTATAGGAGACATTGCAATAAAACGATTACAATCACTAAGTTGGTGCGTGTTACGGCAAATGATATACTCTTCCTTTCTCGTCGTGCCTAGTGCCTTCACTACAAATGACTTCTTTATATTCACTGATTCCTTAGGTTCTACTGTTGGATGCAAAATGCTGGCAAACTTTCCCGTCGCTTGATTGACACTGTCCTTTACCAGTCTCACAATATCATCGAACCCGGGCTCTAAACCATCCTACTCTAAACGGGAGCTGATTTTTATAAACTTTCTTTGTAAGCGAACGGGTAATCTCTTAGCGATTACCTTAAGAATCGAACTAGAGTTTAATTCATCCACACAATTAAGAGAAACGAAGGTATTTCCATACACCATTAAGCTATCCAAAAACCCGGCGAGTTCCTCGGAATTATCGTTTAACTGGCACCATTGCCTTTAACGGTCCCAAAAACACTACTGGATATCATAAATGGCCTCACAAACCTTTGACGTAATATCCTCATGGCCTCAGTGTATCTTTCGTTTGGGGGCATAAACTTGCAGCACTGTATAGCTCTTGCAGCAGGTTTCAGTAGTAGTAGTGTTTTTAAGGGGTGGGTTGCTAGCCTCACTTCCAACCCACTCTTTGTCGGGATTATAACCGGCTAAGGGAGGTAAAGGTGTGCGGCGGCCGGTACTTGAACCCCGGAACACGTGCATAGTTGGCCAGCACTCTACCGCTGAACCACCGATGCACAATGCGAACGAAAAGTGAAAATGATCAAGTGAGTAAAGGAAACAGCATTAAATTTTAATGGAAAAAGAAAACAAAAAGGTAAAAGTATAACAACAGATAAGTAAAGCAAAAATACAAATATTGCAAACAACTTACATCCCGAACTGAAACAATATTTGGATGATTATGGTGTCTAAGTAAAATTTCAACTTCTTCTCTGGCATCTCGCTTCGATTTGTCAATAATCTGTGTTTGTAGGAAGAAAAGCATTTTAAAAAAATTAATCAGCCAGTAAAAATCTTACTATTGTAAATTCAAGATAAGTGGACATATAGGTAAGCAGATGAATAAGTCTTATACTACATCATTTATTCATCGATGTGAACTGATTGATGAATGCCGTGTTTATATTTAAACATCGTGAAGGTGTCGAATTTTTGTTACTTAATATACAGACCAGTAAAGATCAACTGTATTCTACGTAAGCTTGCTTCGAGAAGCTGTACGAGTACTAAATATTGATTGATATTAAAGGAAAATACCTCAAAGATACCTCAAGCATTACTTTCACAGTTATGCCCACGTTTGAGAAAACTAAGATTTGAGCATCGTGAACATTTGTCCATAATCCTGGGTAAAATGAATAGGCTACACGCGAAAAATATAAGAGCTACACATGTCTACTTACCATATACGTTAAGATGCTTTATCAGCACAGTTAGGATTAATTTGAAAGAAAAACTGGATAACGATTAAACCCAAAGTATTTATCAGTCCATTATTATTATTGTTTCCTTTAGTTCCTAGAGGCACATAGGGCTTCAGTCGCGCGTCTCCATTGCGTCTGGTTCTCCACCAACGTTTTCACCCGGCTACATGTCTGACTACATGTCTTCATCTCCTCTTCGTACAACCTCCTTCATGTCACCCTTGCACAGACGATCAATTCCAATTCGGGTTTTACTCGAGCGATGGCCTGACGTGTGATGTCATTTGATGGTCTTCTCAGAGTATGGTCAATCCATCTCCATTTCTTCTTGAATATTTGTTGCACTATTGGCTCCTGCCTGGTTCCCTCCCAGAGATCCCTCACTATTGCTGATCGTTTCTTGCTGGCCATCTGATCTTGAGTATTGAGAGAAGACAGCTGTTGATGAAGGTCTGTAGTTTGTTCGAAATGCCCTTCGTGACACGCAGTGCAAGACTCTGATCCGTATAGTAGCACTGACTTCACATTGGAGTTAAAAATCCGGATCTTCTCTTCATTTTCATGCTGAGTGCTGTTGACCTCCACACAGACTTGAGAGTAGTGAAAGCTTGTCTTGCTTTTCCGATTCTTGCTTTGATATCCTCGTCAGTTCCGCTTGTAGTTGAAGCGACGCTTCCCAGGTGGGTAAAGGAGGTTGTTTCTTTCAGGTTCCTCCCATTTATGCTGATTGTTGTCTGTTGTTGTAGCTGTTGGTGTTGTCCAGGAATCTTCATCACCTCTGTTTTCTCTATGTTGACCTGAAGTCTTATTCTTGGTGCTTTTTCTGCCAAATTGTTACTTTTCAGTTCATAATTCCGATATATATATATATATATATCGGTCTAAATAGTGTAATAATGTGTGACTCACTTAATTGGAGTTCACTTGACTATAAAAAGCCAAAGTTGAAAACCCTCTAAGAAACATTTTAGAACTGATTCACACTGGTGCAGGTCCACTCATGTTATATCTTTAATCTAATAACAGCTTAACTCTTTTTCATTTCTTTTATCTCACCATAAAATGAATTTGTTTGTCTCAATTTCTATTATTTTCTAGTTGATATGTAGATACGAACTGTGACAAATTTGGTCACTAGACAGCGATGCCACGTTCAACGAAGATAACATTTATCTGTCTTTCCACGTTAGAGCAAAAATGAGGTCATGCTAATAAAGGAGTGAGAGAGTGAATAATTTTCACATTTCTCTTCTTAAAAACAAAATCAATACAGTTGTTCAATACACGAAACTACACATAGATGTGTGAAAAAATACAAAACCTTATTTAACATCATTAACATTTCTTGTAGTAGGTCAAACTAAAAGTAGACGATAATAAATTTTTTTCCATTTTCTTAGTTTTTAAATAATATAAGTGTAATGCGACTGTAATGGTATATATTTATTCCTCCGTGTGTTTATAATCGGCCAACAATGCACACAGTTTGAGCATTTATTACCAGCTTACAGTGAACCGAATAAAATAAATGAATATCGATATTTCTAATAACATTCTTGAAAGTAGCAGTATAAAATATAGGTTCAGGAAAACGAAAAAAGTATGTACATTTTTTTAAAAATTGTATAATAATTCTTTATCACAGCTGTGACGCAAAGCGATTACTGTTCGGAAGCTTTTACTTCAGGTGCCTAGAACTTTATCAATTTTTTTTCTCATTTAAAAATGAATTTCGGGAATGAAATGATGTTGATGAGAAAGGAAATGTGCTAAGAAATTGAATATATATATATATATGTATAATAACTACTAGAACAGAAATAAACAGTTGTTCAATACTAAATTTATAGCCAAGTATTGGTTTGTAGGGATTTGGTTGATTGGTTACAGGATTTCATCATGAGCTGACATTGGCTGGAGAACCATTGGAAAACCTGGGAGTACTGGACAGCTGTTTCGCCTTAGTTTTGGGACTGTTCAGCAGTGGGTGGGTGCGTACTGATGAGGAGTCCCGAAACTAGGACGAAACAGCTGTTCAGTACTCCCAGGTTTCTCAATGATCCTCTCTCTCCGATATCAGTTCATGATGAAGTCCTGAGAACAATTAAATCCCTGAAAAGCAATACTTGAAACTACTTTATTACGTCAGGCAAACACAGTAAGTCTGTGACAGTGATTGACTGTGACTGCAACTTTTACCCTGAGAAAATTTAACACTTATAAAGCATACATGTCTTATGTGCAAATGATACAGTTTACTGTCAATCAGCCGAATTCCATAGTCAGTTATTTACAATCCTAATAATAAAATAGTATGATGCACACGGTCTGATTTATAAATAGTGCTCAATTTCAACTCACCAATGAGTATTCTACAATGAAATATGATATAACTTTTACTTCTTTCAAGTTAACCGAATAGAAATTAGGTATAGAAATAACTGTTCTGCGACAAAAAGGTTTAATCAATCTGGTGAAGGAGTCTATTGACTACAATCAAACTCAAGTTATACAGTATAATTTTGAAAAAAGAAACATTGGACGAAAAGCTTCAGTTTCAAATTATCTTATCTTATTATCATGGGATAATATGCAATATTTAAAATTTAAATATACACCTAAATGTTGTTCTAATAAAGATGGAATTAGCCGATCTCGGACCAATTACGCTTACCGTCACTAGCATATTAAATTTATTTTTCAAATAAGCCGTTCGCAGTAAACCAAATTGTAGTGCAAATTATCACACACACACACACTACTAAATACGTTTTAAACAATAATTGAGGCTGACCAGCTCAAACGTATTACTCTTGTATATATGTAATTTCATATTGTACAAGTGTTTATTCATAAAGTACAAAACAGCATGAAATCGGTCACAACACTATGCTTGTTCAAAAGTGCATAAGTAAATTCCACACTATGTATTATTAATACAAATAGTTAAGAACAAGTTTTACTGAAATATGAATTTGCATTATTATATTTCCTAATTATTCCGATATTCAGCGTGTATTGTTATGTTGATGCTATCGAACTGTAATCCATTGATATTATTATTGATTCGATGTTATTTCAACAACATTGATGTTGTTAATAACACTAATTCATGCGTTTATTCCCCTTAATCAATTTGAATAAAGCAAGAACAACAGTATTTGCTGAATAAAATCGTACCATCATTTATTTTGTTGGCTTCTCATCATCTGCTCATAACCCAAAGTAATTATTAGGTATACCTACAAAAACAATGTTAACATCCTTGCACAGATTAATAAATGTGTACTTGCACACAGTTCATTTTTAAACAAAAATCAATCAATCATTATATGCACACAATAACAAAACATATAATAATAAACACTTTGTCCCGAAAAATAATGGTCATACATAATGGAAACCTTCGGCATTACGTAATCAGATGAAAGAGATGAAAATATCCAGTTACCAGTGCAAGGGAAGACTGGTAACCTCCTCTTTCTGAACGCAGAAATCGCGTTTCAGGCGCTTGCTTCGGCAAACTTGAGGAGAATTGAACTCTTTTGCCTACTAATAATTTTGGACGATCTTGAAATGTCCACCTCAAGAACCATGTAAAGGAGAGACCTGGTGATGCCACTGTTTGAAACATTTGTTCCCTTTAGACATAGGCTTTTTGGTACATGTTCAGAAAATTCGGAGGTATGCTCTTCTCTCTGTTCGTCCAATGCAACTGCTCCCGCATATACATATAAATTTGTATATACAGTTAGAGTTAAGATGAGAAGGATATCTGTCGATTTTTGATTGCACCAAAGAGCTTAGCTGCAGGATGGGCTCTGCCTAGCGATGTCCTCAATCTTCTGTCGACAATTACTGTAATATTTTCACCTTTAAAACCAAGTTGAATGTAGATGGGCTTTTTTCCCATTGTGATTTGCTTGACATTTGAGCCTTTAGATCTTCCGTACTTGTTAATGAACCTTTGAAAGTAAATGTCGCTTTTCAACATCTTTTTGAGAAACAAATTCCTCATGTAACTTCTCTGATGAGTGTATTCTCCTGCTGAATACTATAGAGTTTTGACTAGTGCCCATCTGAAGCTATTTCGAGAAAAACTATTAAAATGTAGGTATTGTGATTTCCATGTAGGCTTTTGGGAAATAGACTTCTGGAGGCTACCATCTTCTAAGCGTTGCCCTAGTAAATGGATATTTTCATCTTCTCTTTCATCTAATTATGTAATGCCGAAAAGTCCCATTGCGTATGATCATTAATGTTCGGGATAAAGTGTTTATTATTTATTTTTATATGTTTTATTATTGTATGCATATACTGATTGATTGATTTTTGTTTAAAAATGAATTGTGCGCAAGTATGTTAAAATTGTTTCTGTATTTTTACTTACTAATGACTTTGGGTTGTATACGGCTGATGAGAGACCAACGAAATAAAACTGTTGTTATTGCTTTATTCAAACACTAATTCATTCACTACTATGTATTTATAACTGTAGAATCTGATGGTTAAGTTATCTAAAAAAATATTCTTTGTT